GGGGGGTTTGGGGGGGTGGTGTTTGGGGGAGGGTGTTTGGGGGGGGGGGGGGGTGTTTGGGGGAGGGGGATGGGGGGGGAACGGTGGGAGGGGGGGAGTTTTTTGTTTTGGTTTTTTGGCGTCAAAAGGAGACCAACCGTTCATTTGCTGAAATGAATACGTGTTATTGTCCCGTGTTGGTTTTCAAGGCAATCAATGTCACTACACTGTGTATTTTTGTTCAGGGGACTTAAGCAAATGGCGGTATTTGAAAGGAACCCATAAGGTAACCAACAACTTTAGATATTAGAGGACGTCATTTTGAGACACACCCGTGTGAACAGGGGTCCCAAAACCCCTGTTGGCGTGTTGGGAGCGGGGCAAACAAAGAAAGATTAGTTGCGGGCAGGAAGATTCAAACTGCTGGAATCAATGCTTGCTGAACTCAACCGTTGCTTGGTTTCTGCTCAAAAGTAGAGGTGCAAAGCAGAACTGGTTTTGCTACCCCCGTTGGCTCCCTGAACTCGGTGCTTTCAGCTGGCTTTTTAGTTGTTGTGTGTTTTGTGGGGATGTCCATTTCGCCCACTACAAGTTAAACTTTTAGCGGGGGATCTGAGGCTTATTGTAGCAGGGGATGAGGACAGCCCAGTTAAGAACACCGAGATGGGCGAAGAGCAATTTCGTCCAAATTGACACGGATCCAAGGGGAGATTCCTCCAAAATAGATCGTTGTTGTGTTTTTTTTGGGGAGGCTTCACTGCAGTCGGTATGTTCGGGGTTTGTGGCTCTGTTCATGTTTAGTAGGGGGCTGCAAACAAAAACACAAATCCTAGTATACCAAGGGTTGGAAAGGGGCTTTATGGAGATTTGCAGAGTGATTCTTGCCTTGGGGGGGGCAACGAATCTCTGAGAATGGGGGGTTGTCCAAGTTGGGGATGCAGTGGATGCAGGGGTTTCGCCACTATAGGGATTCGCCGCGTTCCAAGAATATGATGTTTCCCTTTACTGTGTGCATGGAATCACAAACCACCCCCCAACAACTTTCGTTTTTGCCATGTCCAAGTTCCCAAGCATAGGTATCCTTTTTCGGTTGGTTTGCTTAACAAATAGAGGGCCCTGGTTTAGATTGGGTTTATTCCATTTACCAGGGCCATTTATTTTTCCAGAAGGCCACCTATGTTCCCAAGTACGTTCACCAAACAGCCATGGCCGGGACTGGGTGCTGGTACGCTTTCGGTTGTGTACATGCGAACGCATCCGATTCGTAGGCGTGGAGATCTACGGCCGCGAGTGGGGCTACAACTTTGTGGAGGAGGAAGTCTCCGGGATCTCCGAAAGCAAACCCCGCAGGAGGTGGGGCGTAGTGGCGAGGGACGGCCATTTTTTGTGTTTGTTTTTGTGGTGAACCTCAGAAGAGCCATCCAAGAACCTTTTTAGGATTCCTCTTCTTTGATGTCAAAGTGGAAACTCAGAGGAACCATCCAAAACTCGTCCATTTTAGGATCCTATGTTTCGATGGTTCAGGGGAAAGATGGACAGCCATTTTTGTGTTCGTTTTTGCGGTGAACCTCAGAAGAGCCATCCAAGAACCTTTTTAGGATTCCTCTTCTTTGATGTCAAAGTGGAAACTCAAAGGAACCATCCAAAACTCGTCCATTTTAGGATCCTATTGTTCGATGTTTCAGGGGACAAAGGGGAACCCTGTTTGTTCTGACAAGTCTTCCGCTTGAGATGTGGGGGTGTGCCTTTTTGTGACCGTTGTGAGGTAGTGTTAAACGGAATGTGACGGGACAAGTCCATGCTTCGGCAAACCCAAAAACAGCCATCCAAAACACCTTTAAGCATTTCAATTGTCCCGCGCCTGTCGTTCCTACCAAAGGTGAGTTCCCTTAGGGTGATGCTTCAAAGCCAACCTTTTGAGCTTTTGCTTTTCCATGTTTGGTTCATTTTTCGTAGGGGCCCAGGTCTTTTGGGCAAGTGAGGTAAGGGGGAATTTCGGGAACCCCGTGGCGGGCTGTTCGTCCGAGTGGCGGCGGCGAAGTCACTCGCGGGTTGCTGGGGATGGGCAAAAGGTGAGAAGCGAAGGAAGGGATGCGCCAAACATTGCCACTACCCTCCAAACGACTAACATGGAAGTGGACCCCTGCAGAACGACTACTTTCCTCTTGAAAGGGGGCTTTGTGCACGTTGATGTTAGTTGGTGGGAGGCTTGCCTACTCAACCACGAGCAAAAAATGATAAAACATCGCATGTTGGAGTGTTTCCCTTGTCAATGTTGCGTTGCCATCAAACACCATCAAACAAAAAAAGAAACGAGGGTTGGTTTGCTTTTGTTTGCTTGTTTCTTATCTCTTTTTTTTGTTGGGGGGGAATGCAAAAGGTTGAAACTAGACGAATTCCACTGCTGTCAGCTTGGTTCTCATGTACCACTGCCGTTGGACCTGCGAAGATGTGTCTTTCCTTTTGTTTTCCCATTGAAACCAACCAAAAGGGGGGAAGGGGGGAAGGGGGGGACTGTAAGGGGGTACCCGCAGAAAAGACACGCCCATCCATTTGTCCGAAGGGAAACCAATTAGAACACATTTTGCAAGCAAGGCTCCGCTGTGAAAAGTGGGCCCTTCAAATCCACCCTTCAAGGTGGCTTGGTTTTGCTAGGGCCAACATGGTGAACGCCAAAAAAGGCGGATTCGTCGTGGGGGGTTGCCTTGAAAATTGTCAAACCGAACAAGGATCCTTTTGTTCCGTTACAGTGACACCCCTTTTGTGACACTCTGCCAAGCATCCCATGCTATTGTGGCTTCCTCCGCGGAAGCCGCATGCTTTGTTCCGCATGTTTGTACCACTCGTTGACGCCGAGAGCGAATTCCGTTTGTCCAATTTATCGTTTTCATATACGCACCCCGGTTACTGGAGCGAATTGGTCACTACTTGCCCATAATTCAGAAACAGCGGATGTTGGATGGCGAACGTGGCTATGGATCCTTTCTTGGACAGCTACCCTCCCACCAGCTAACATGGAAGTGCACAAACCCCTGCAGAAAGACTACTTTCCTCTTGGAAAGGGCCTTTTTCCATGTTAGTTGGTGGGAGGGTAGCATCCAGCCTCTGAGTGTTTTTGGGTTTCGCAGGCCGGAGCACAGCTACTGCGTGACGCTCGAAATGGGCCGGTGCTCCTTGAGCGAGGAGGACGGGTGAGCCGAAAACAAATTGCCAAGCGATGCCTTCAAGCTGGGGCAGCAACTTAGACATGGACATGGGTGTGGCTCAAAATTAAACAGGAGGGGCAAACCGCAGGTGTTGTTCCATGTTTCCACTTACCAGGGTAACCCATTTTGGTACCCTTTTTGGTACCGGTGTTTTGAGCCACAGCCACATGTCTTACATATTTCTTCCATGTGCTTAAGAATATGTTGTTGTTTTCCCCTGTTGGTCTTAAAAGGAATCGATTTGACTATTGGACACACGTTGGTGGTTGTTTCTTTCAGCGGGCCGAGGCAAATCATTGCGGGCTGATTATATAAGGGCTTGATGTCCGGATACCTCGGCACGCAGTCCCTTCCCTTAGTTTGGTCTTCAGCCCTTAGTTGGACCACGGAAGCTTCCCATCGCAAGGCAAAGGATGAGATCCAAGTCGTTTCCGGGTCCTGTCATCCATGGTTCTTGAAAAAGTCAACCGACAAAGGGGGCCATTTTGAGAGGCTTTAGCCGGGCAGGCTCTGAGGGATCGACCAGGGCATGTCAGTCCCAGAGCGAATAGGAAAAACAAAAACTATGTGGCTTCCTCTAACCTTTGTTTTGCCGCTTGTTTGGTAAGGGAATTACTTGGGCCTCTTTCATGCCTCTTTCAACAGTTTTGTGTTTTGTGCGGTTTCCATTCAAGGGAGCCCTGGGGTTTCTTTCAACTGTCCACTATAGGGTTTCCTTCCACCTTGTGTTTTGATGTGTTTTTGGGTGGTTTCCTTTAAGGGAGGGTCCTCTTCAACCTTTGTGTTGCCTCTTTTTTTTGGCAAGGCCCACTTTCAATTATCTTTTCTTTTGGGGGCGGATTCCTTTAAAGGAACTCTCCGCAACCTTTGTTTTGCCGTTGTTTGGTAAGTGCCAGGTTGGGTGGTGTCCTTTTTTGCGGAAACCCTAGGAATCCTCTTCAGCCCTCAATTATTTGTTTCGGGGGTGGTTTCCTTTAAGGATGTTCTGGATGCTTTTCTTTTTAGTGGTTGTTTGGCTTTGTTTCTGGGTGTGTCCTGGTTTCCTTCCCTCTCTTTTTTGGCAACAGCCCACTTTCATCTTGTTTTATTTATTTCTATGTTCTTTTCTTTTTTGGGGGGGTGGTGGTTCCTTTCTTCGGACATTTTGGGAGCTCGTCCTCAGCCGCCCCACCGGTGGCTAAGCGGCTTCGCGGCTTCGACGCTAGGAGGTCTCGCAGCTCCTGGCGCGGATGTGCCCCGCGTGGCGCGGCCCAGAGCCTTGGCCTCGAACGCGTTTCGCGACAAGTGGCGCCGTTTTTTGGTTGGGGGGGGCCTCCAAAGCCGAAATGTTTGCTTGGACTGGATTCTCCAAAACCTTTTGTCTTCCTCTTCGTTTTTTTTTTGGGGGGGGGGAGGGGGGATTTGTTTGGTCTGGTTTGTCCAAAACCTTTTTGTCTTCCTCTTTTTCTCTTTTTTTGGGGAGAGGGGGGAGGGGGGGAATTTGTTTGGTTTGATTTGTCCAAAACCTTGTGTCGTGTGCGTTGTTGTTTCTTCTTTTTCGTTTTCTGTTTTAATATTATTATTATTATTATTATTTATTATTATTATTATTATTATTATTATTATTATTATTATTATTATTATTATTGTTACTTTTATTATTTTTTTATTATTATTACTACTATTATTATTACTGTTATTATTATGGTTTATTGTGTTGTTGTTGTTGTTTTTTGTTTTTTTTTGCGGGGCGGGGGTGTTTGTGTTTTGACAAAACTTTTGATGTGTGAGTGAGTGTGGCTCCAAATTACAGAGCTGGGGTTACTCAGGTTTTTCCTTCTTCCATTTACCAAGGTGCCATTTTGGTACTTGCTTTCGAGCCACAGCCGTGTTTTGTCCTAAAGGGTAAATATGAAACGGAGTTCTGGACATCTGATTTTCCGTGAGTTTGGGGGAGGGAGGATTGAAATAAACGATCCCCTTTTGGGCGTTTGTTCGTTGGGTCGCCAAGATGGAGGCACTCGTGCCGTTTGAGAGAGATCCGCAAATAGGAGCCGGTGGCTTCAAGTCTTGAGAAGTGAGGCTCCTTTGGGAGCGAGGTTCAACACGCAGCTTTGTGCTTGGACTTGTCTTTAGACCCAAGCCTCGTTGCTCGTTTCTGCAGAGCAAATGCTCGGATCGATCACTCTCCCAGGCAGTGCTGGCAAAGTGCGAGCACACCGTGGCATCCATCCTCCAATCCAAACCGCCAAACCGTTTGCATACATCAAGATGGAACGATACAACTAAGGGGGCTGGCAATGCCAAAGGAATACACCTTGAAAGTCAACTCAAAGACCAATTTGAGAAAGAAACAAACAACTAGCATTCTATACTGCTTTGTTTCAATACCCGATCATGGAAACACGTTGGCTGCTTGGATGCCTTGGGAGGAATCGCTAAGTGGTTAGGAACCCTAGCTGTGCACCGAAGCCATAATTGTAAGTCCCCTACCAGGGTTACGGACCTTGTTATAGCTGTTTTGTTTTTAGTGGGGATCTCGCGATTTCCACAGCCCACTAAAAGTCAAACTTTCAGCGGAGGATCTGAAAACCGACAGCCCAGTAACCTTTCAGCGTTCCTGACCGTGTCTCAGTTGAAGCTGACCTTTAACCTCTTTGTTTTCCCATGTGGTCCATGTTTAGTCATGGCCCCAAAAGGTGATCACCTTCTATTTCTGGGTCCGAACTGGGTAAGTGACCATCGTAGCAGTAATTTAGCTAGGTCCCCCAGTAGTGCCCTTTGACCCGTTTTTGGGGGAGGAATCCCCTACTAAAAGAGACTACAGAAAAAAGGGTACCCTTATTCTAACCTCTCTACTGGAGGACCTAGTTAGCGTTCCAGACCGTCTAAGGAGTACAACGACGTGCACAACAACTGTCTGGACTTCTGCGACGCCTTGTGCTGCGCGCTTGGCGTGGGCGTGCTGCCGCGGCCGCGTGACCGTGACGGCCGGGATGTGAAGGAAGCGAAGCGGCAGGATGCGAGCGGCTTGGAAAAAAATAGGTGTCCCTTTTCTTACCGCTTAAAAACACAACTTTTCAACTTGTTGGGTAACATGGGCTATACGTCTGTAAAAGATTAACTTCCCCCATCCTTGGAGTTTTAAGGGGTAAGTGTTTCGGCTAGTTTGGTTTGACATAGATGGCAACGGTTCAGATTGGCTTCATTCCATTTACCAGGGCCATCTGTTAGGCCAACAGGTCACCGCGCCTATGCTTGGAACCTGGATCCCAAGCCACCTTCAATCCAAATGGGTGCATTGGGGGTTCCCTATTAAAGACACACCTAAGTGAGCACGTGCCAAAACAGGGAGACACACAAAATTGTGCTTGTCCTGTTCGTTGCCCTCAAAATCTTTGTCCAAAAGAGATACCCTGACAAAAAAAAAAAGCATCCAACGCGGGCCCGTTCAGTTTATGCAGTTCCCTTCAAGGTCTTTGATTGTTGGTTGGCTAGCTGGTGGTTGGAAGGGAGCCAAGGAGCTGGGGGTCTCCCAATTTGCCTTTGGGGAGCTGAGGAGCTGCCAGGAGTTCTATGTGGTAGTTAGTGAGTTGGTAGAATTCACGTTCAACGCACTTTCTCTTTTTTGGACGTGAGTCGTAGACTGCAGACTGACCATGTCCTCCCCAAGAGGGTTGCTTTGCTCCAGTTGGCGGAAGCCATGTGCTTGCCAAGGGGCTTGAAAAAAGCATCCCTAGAGAGATCAGACCCTCCTTTTCTTAAACCCCCATGTCCTTCCCATGTCCTTCCCCATGAGATCCGCGCTGTTTACTTTGTGCACCGTGGACCGGCTGGATACCCCATGGATCCCATCCAGAGTCGCCAATTCAACCGGGGAAGGCTGATTTCCTGATGTGGCAACCATCGTCAAGGTTCCAAGCGGTGATCGCCAACATTGTTTCCAGCTTTGACCTTCAACCGTTTCCCTGACGTGGCAACCATGTTTCGTCAAGGTTCCATACCTGTCCTTTTTTGGCCAAGTGAGTCAGTTGTCAGCGACCCAGGCTGCATAAGTGTCCCTTTTGGGTGAGTTTGGTTTGTCATAGAGGGGTTCCGCTGGTTTCGATTGTTGTTGTTTTTTGCCAGCCGTTTCGCAGGGGAGCCCATCGATTTGTCCAAAAAGTAAACAAAAATGAAAAACGAAGAAGCAACAAACTGAAGAGAAAAAAAGAGGAGGAAAAAAAGAAGAAGAATTAGAATAAAACAAATATTAAAAACAAAAAAATGTAAAAATCTAGCGTCCCAGGCTGCAGCCTTTGGAGCTCCGTGAGCTCTTCCCTCCTCCACCAGCTCCGGGACGCCGTGCTGGGCCTCTTCGATGCCCCATCCACCTGCCGCGGCTGCGACGAGGCGCCGATCGTCTGGGAATCGCTAAAGGACTAGCAACCCTGGTTGTAACCCAAGCAATGGTTGTAAGTCCCCAGTAACTAGGGTTAACCATTTAGTCAGTACTCTTTTCGTGCCCTGCAGGGATGGATCCAGGATTTCGCATCCAAAGCTAAACCCCGAAACAGCGTATCCAACCATTTATATTCAGAACCAGGGTTATCAACCACTTGAGAGACCAGTGAAATGACGACAAGCCCTGGATATTGGCTCAGTTCCTCTACATCACTACTGTACGTCTGTCCTTCTTTTGCTGGCTTCTATGGCACATTCTGCATCGCAAGGAGGGAGGCCATCGGGTATGAGTCCCCTACGTGCATGACGAACCACTTTGTTCGCACCAAATCAATCGCCTGGATGCACAAAATCCACTTCGCAGCGGTTTTGGCTCGGCTGTCCGACTCAGCGGGTCAACTGGTGCTTGGCGCTTGAAATTTGGTCGCCAGGAACCTCCTGTCCTGGTGCCGAAGTGCCAGGGGGGCTTCTCCCTCTCTCGGGAGCGCCTTGGACGGGGAGGAGGGGGGGGGGGTTTCCTGAGACTCTCTCATTTTGTTCGCAGCGAATGGACCTTTTGACCCCATATGTTATCATGACACCACAAGGTGAACCTTGTAAAAACCAGGTCCTTTCAGCAACTGAATACAAGAAACCCTGAGGACATCTGAGGTCTCTCAACTACTCACCTGCCTTGTACCCACCCCACTGGGTTGCTAAACCGCTGGATTTTGATTGGGAGACGTCCCATTTCAGACGTGATCTTTCGCTTGTGGGGGAAACACCCCCGTACCCACCCGATTGATTCATCGGGCTCGACATGAACCCACAGAACAAGGGCTTGAAACAAGTGCGAGGTTTAGCCGGAATCACTACCCGCTTGCAAAGTACCCTGCCTTTTTTGAGTGTGCAGGGGTGTCTCAAGAATAGGCGACCCCCAACAAAAGCCTTTTTTGGTCCCTTGAAACCAGCCCCAAAACATGGTTGTTGTTGGGGAACATTTGAAACATGTTTGCTTATTGTGTTTTAGTGGCAAATCCCCACTTAGCTGCTAAAATTGAATTTTTTGCTCCCCAAACCCAACGTCAACCAAGAAAAGGGTACCCTCAAAAACCCAGGGTCCAGAGGGTCCAGACTTTCTTTCCCGACATATGCTTTGGGAGAGACATGCTTATTCCCAAGGTCCGTTTATTGGTGCGCCAGGCGTGAGACAATGCATTTTGTGAGAAGCGCCACAGAGAGGTGTACAAGTCTCAATGACGGAGTGTGCCCGAATGAGTTCAGCACAACAAAGTTCCCTTAGGTTTCCTGCTGTTGGTTTGTTTGAACCAAGCGGTTGCCTCTAGGGGAATGGTCGTTCACCTTGGAAGAATCGAGGGGTCCCAGGATCCAAGATCGAAAGCTTCAGCGCGAGCCAGACACTGAGCAAAGTGTTGCCCTGAAACGAATCCAAATGGCCATGGGTCACAACCTATGCATTTCTCCCATTTTGCGGCGGAGCACCCATGTACCACCTATTTTGATGTTCACCAGGGTTTTTTGGGGGGTTTTTGACAACCACGGCCAAACCTAAACCCAGAGGAAAACGGAATCTGCAGCTCTTCGGTCTGGAATTGGCGAGGAGTTCTCTTTGGAATAGACCCGCTCGGTTACCCCAGTGCCCTTTTTACCGTTTCTTTTTTGGGAGAGGGTTCCCCGACATATAATAGACTACAGGAAAAAAAAACGGGTACCAACTTATTCTAGCCTCTCAAAATCTCTCAAAACTGGAGGACCTAGTTGATGATGTATCATACTTCCACCTCACAAGAGTAGTTGCCTACGAGGCTGCTTCCAGTGATCATCCAAAACGGCCAAACTGCCTCGGCTTGAGTTGGTATTGACGAAGCATGAAGCGTTTGCTTGACCTTTCTGGTTTTCCAATGTTGGTCTAGGAGTGTCGAGGTTTCAACAGCTTGTCCTTTATTTCCAGGTCCTTTGGGCAAGTGTGTTAAGGGTGGTGGAGTCAGGTTGGAGGGTTCAATGACGTCTGTGATACCTGGAAATCTACCCCTTCAAGCGTGAATCCCCCGAACAAAAAAAAAACAATGCGTGACTCATTCGGAATTGGCACATAGGAATTCTCAAATTCTCCGTGCGCGGGTTGCCGCCTTTGTCCTTTGGCGGCTTCTCATCCAGTTTTCCCTGTGCTTCCTTCGCTGATCTCAGTGCCACGCGGAGGGAATTCGCGTCCCGAGTATGCTTCGAAGGACCTCCGGGACCATGAGGTTGGGCGTGACTTCTTTTGCGGTTCCTCCGTTGCCGTGTTTTCCTGTTCTTTTTTAGAAAAGCTCGATTTTTTTTTTGGGGGGGGTGCTTTTTTGTTTAAAGGGATTTGTCTTATTTATGTTTTGTTGGGAGGGTGGTATCCCGGAGAGGAAAAAACACAAAAAAACAGACGAGCTCCTTGCCGGGGATCGGCGTTCGGCCATTCCCCCCACCCCGAGGCCCACCTACCTCCCGGCCATCGCCGGCGCCAATGGCGCCGTCGAGGGCGCCGCCTGCGACGCCGCGGCGCCGGCCTTTTGGCGCCTGCCCTCCGTGGGCACGTGGCTCCGCGCACGGCCGCGTGAGCCGAAAGGAGAAGGCGAGGCCGAGGAGTTGCAAGAAATGACAATAATTGCAAAATCCGGGGGCCCCAATTTTGTTCCAAGTATTGCAACTATTGGAATTGAATTCCAATAATTGCGATAATTGTTGGTTGTGGGTTTGGGGACGGGAGGAGAGGTTGTGTTCCATTTGATCCGTTGGTATGGCGTTATTCTGTTTGGTGTTCGTATTCGTGCAGCGCTCGAGTGGATCAGAGGGGGATCAAACATGTCTAAACAGAGCACAAAGCAGAACTTGCTACACCCCGCCGCCACACTTTGATTGACCATGGTTAGCGGGTCCACAATCCAAGCCAGTGCGACAAGGGTTGCAGAAATCGTCGTGGGGGAGATGGTGGTGCACTTAGTGTTTGAGGAATTTCCCTCTTAAGCATTTCTCTTGGCATCAATAACAAACGAAGAGTCGTTCTGAGTGCACAAACCAATGGAGTATTTGCCCAACAGGAGTTTGCTTTCTTTTCTTTTCTTTTTTGTGACGGTTGACCCTCGGTCGTGCATCTGGTGAAATATGGGGTGGTGTGTCACGGTAAACTCGCGAACGGCGTGTTTCAAAACTTCCGGGAAGAATACTTCTCATCCTGCTCGGAGTTCAACTCCTTGGCTTTGGGTTTGAATGTGACCTGTATGGATCCACCCCCTGGATGTCACCATACCCGAAATGTGTACTTAAACCATGGCCCAAGACGTGGAGCTGGGGGAAGGTCCAACCCTTGGATGGTTTCATCTTGGTATGCCAAACTGGTTCAAACACTTGGCCATGTTGAAACTCGCATTGTTCCTAGCTGAGTTGGCTTCATTTAGGATCTGTGAATTCGGATACCTTTTGGGGAAACCCTGAAACATGGCGCCGGGGGCGGGGCGGCCCACCGTGAAATTTTCGCCAGGCGCGGCGCCCGAATTCAGCGAATTCAGCGAGGTTCGCGGCTTGCGAGCGCAAAAAACCGCCGGCGCGATGCGATGGGCCTTCCGTGGATCTCCAGAAGTGTCTCCTCCGAGTTGCCATGCGTCTGGCTTGCTTTGGGTTGCCTCTAGGTAAACTTAGGTGGAACGGTTCTTGACAAGCCTTCCAAGTTGCAAGCAGGCTTCTTCCAGGAAAAGCTTCGGATGCACCTGTGCTTTGGTGCATTTTGCCAAGGGATGTTAGGACTGAACAACTGTTTGATCCAACTCATGTTGGTTTTCCTTATTAAACCACTAAAAGTTAGTCACTTTTAGCAGGGGAGCAGAAAGCAGCCAAGTTCAGTGGGGGGGGCTTTCCCTTCAGAATTTGCTGGCTCCCAAGAAAAGGTGGCCCTTTTCCCATGGACAGTTCGAGGCTCACGCAGCTGTAGTCGAAGCAAGCTCGCACATGTGACTTGAGGGTTGATCAAAAGGTCCTTTACAAAATGGCCATTGGTTGGAACACCCATGAAAAGGATGAGACATTTCAACCCTTCTTTCAGGGCCGGCAAGATTGAACTCAAATATATACGTTACCAAGCGCCCTTTTCAGGTTGGCTTTCCGATAAACCAACCAGGAATATGAATCACCCCCGACTGAAACCCCAGGGCCTTCGCCCTCGCGGTCGCATCTCATGGCTCCGGTGCACCGGATTCCGCGCTCGGCCCGCAGGGGCAAGCGCGTTCGGGTCTCAGGGAGGCAAACATGGCAAACCAGATGTGAATATCTGGAGCCCCATAGTTGAAGCTAGAGACAATAATGCACGATTACTTAACCCACCAAGCAGTTCATACAAGCAGTTCGTGTATAGACAAATATACATTCAGCATGTGAGGCTCTTAGTGTCACCTCCTTTGTTGCTCAACCAAGGGAAAGAGAACAATGCGTTTCTTCCAGTGACCGAGGTCTATGGTCAACTTGGCGTACGAGACATAGGGGACTAACTGACTTCCCGCAACGAAATTAGGGGGACTCGGCTAATGGTCCGCTAACCACTACAGGAATTGCAGGTTTTGACCGCGGTGTCGATGCGTGTTCGTTTTACCGTCTGGTTTCGAAGTGGTGGGAACCGGCCAAATGTTTGTTTGGGTGCTGTTAGCCCAGACCAACCTGAAGACGGATCATTGGTCCCGGGTGCAAAAACAAACAATAGCGCGACCAGCCAGAGACTGGCTTAGGTTGTGGCTATATTCCCCAAGTTGCCATGGGTTTGGCTTGCTTTGGGTGCCAACTAATTGGGTTCCCGTATTAAACCACCAAAAGTTTGTCACTTTTAGCAGGGGAGAAAGCAACCGAGTGTGGATGTTGAAGTATCCAAGTCCTATTTGCAGTTTGTTTGATACCATGGAAAGCACTCCACTCTCCGCTTGGCACTAAAAGGCTCGACTCGACGCTCTGCGCCCCTTTGGCATTGAAGTTGGCGGGTCCACAGCTCTTTTACCCACAAGCCCTGGATTCCGGGCAAGAGAAACTCCCGTATGACTTTTAAAGGGATCCGTTCTTTCCGCTTGGTGAGTTCTACTTTCTTTCCTCCCAAAGTGGCATCGCTGGCAGCTTTTGGCCCGAGTCTCGAATCAGCGAGTTGGCGCAAACTTTGGACTTCCGTGCTTCGAATTGGACAGGCGGGGTGCTCCACAAAGCATAGACATTTGGCTTGATCTCCTTTGGTTTTCCTTCACGGACCAACTGGCTATCCTGTCTTGCGGGGGAACTCCCAAGCCAGCACCCAAGCCGCCCGCGATGTCGTGCGTGAATTGTGGGGGGCGAGAAGTGATGACTGCAGAGCAGTTCGACCTTTGGTGGGAGGAGACGGAGAGGGATTTGGGCTGCTAGGCTATCTTCAACCCATGAGTTGCATTTTACACGGGGTCTCCTCCAATCTCATGTTACAGCCTTTAGTGTTGACGAAATACGCCACATAATTTCAACATCTTATTTTAAATGCACCCCTGATGTGGGCCGAGCTACCTGCAGGTAAACGAGGGAACCACTCTTCAAAGCTGGAAGAAAAATGACTGGTTGCGTACGAGAGGTCCTAGTCTGGAAAATATGGTTGCCTCCACTTTTCTTGTGGGAAGTGCATGCCCCTAGCCGGCCCCGAGCTGTTTTGGAAGCAAAAAGCGTTTTCCGGAGAACCTAACGCTTGGAGTTGTTTGCCCGCGCCTGGGGGGAAAGTGGTCACCGCATACTGTGGATGAATCCTGCACCACTTTGAAACCATGGGGAAGAATTGGTTTATTCCCAGTTGCCCATGGCTTTGTTGCTTCTTTTTTTGGGGAAGCCAACCAAAAAAGGGTGCCCCGTGGCCACTGGGCATCTGAGTATTGGTTCTTAGAGGGAATCACAATTCCAGGATTGCTTATGTGGTACAGGCTGTCGTCCATCCACAGTATGTTTGTGACTGCCACACAGCGGTAGGTACAAAGTGTTCAACTTGTTCTCTACTTACTTCCACAGGATTCCAAGCGCTCATTTTACTTTTCTCAACCTGGAGTGAACAGCAAGGTCCCATATCAGCAACAGAACATTAAGGGTATCAGTTTTGCAGGTTGGATATCACCTTAGTCCACGCCCTGTGAGTTTTTGCTGGTCGTATCCCCAACCCCTTGAAAAATGGAGTTGGGGAAGGAAGTGGCCCCTGGAATTTATAATTCCATGTGCCGTGGTGCAGGGGAGACTGGAAATATGGAATCGGGGCACCCCCCCCCCCTTTCGCCCCCCCCAATCAAGCTAGAGGGGAGTGCTCATGTTGTCAGGTCGGCCAAAATTGGCTCCAGTCATGAAACCCTTGAGCAAAACAAAAATTTAAAGATGCATGGTTACAGAGGCGCCAACCCCCAACCCCCAACCCACCCAACCACGTTTCAACGAACCCCCATGTTTACCGACCATTTTCAGTCGGCGCTTTTTGATCCAAATCGACGCGCAGGACACTCAACAGGCGGGCGAAAGAAGTTTCCACGATGCGCTGAGACGAGAGGTGGGCATGTCAATGTGTGCAAGTATGGAGACAATTTCAACCCTCGTTTGGTGGGGGGTTTTCCTTACCTTCGAAAATTGCTTAGTTTTCCTTCCAACCCTTCCAACCCTTTTCTCTTTTCAACCAACCCCCAACCCCCAAAACATGGCTTTTCCCAGGTCGCGACACGCATGGAGCTGAGAAGCTTCCGGCAGCTCAGCTTGGTGTGCGGGCAAGAGGTTCTGGGCGCCGAGAGCCCGTGGCTCGCTGGAAAGGTCCAGAGGTCCAGTGCTTTGTCTTGCTGCGATAGGCAGGGAATGAGAAATGGGTGTGGCTCAAAATTGAACGATCGGAGTGGCCAAAAAAACCGCAGGTCTTGGTCCGTGTTTCCACTTGCCAGGGTAACCCATTTTGGTGCCGGGTTTTTGAGCCACAGCCAAATGGAATGACCCAAAAAAAACACATCCAGCTGGTGGTTTCCTGTGAGGGGATGCTCCAGGTTCATTCCCTCATTCCCTACCTCTCGCGCCAGCAAGTTGTTTCCTTCTTCTTTTTCATAGAAGGTGAAGCCCTTTAAAAGCAGCTTCCATTTGCTGAAGTGAATATTGTGTTATGTCCATTTCCTTGTTGCTGTCAAGGGAATTTGTCGCTATTGGACACATTCTTTTTTGCCGAGGTAAGCAAATGGAGGACAACCAACAAAAAGGGTGCCACTGCTTTTTCCCATGGCCAATGAAGGGTTGAGCTGCTGTTTTCTAAAAGAGGCAGCTCTGATTTTCTTGTTTTGAGGGTTCCCCAAAACAATCCTCCAGCTCTAGTTCCCCGGGTGGTTCTAATTATCACATGGTTGCCAATTTGCAGTGAGCTCTTGTTGGTTGCGGACATGTTCAATGACGACATGTGAATCGTGTGGCACCTCTCAACCTTCAAACTTGAAAGGTTCATGAAACTCAGTTCTTCAGTGGCACCCTTCTCCTTTTTCCCTTTTTTTGGTGGCCCTACTAAAAATGGTCCAAGCCCCAAAAAGGGTTCCCTTTTTTTCCCAGGATCACTGAACAACTGCGGAAATACCAGAATGAAAACATGGAACTCACTTAGCTGTGCGGTCTAAGTCGGGCCAAAGGATTTTTTGAGGGTACCAACAAGACCTCGCAGAAGTTGGCTTTTTTTGCATCATGTAGAGAAAGATGAACCATAATTTCAGCATGCAAGTTGTTTGGGGCAAAAGCTGAGGTAGGCTACCAAAAGGAACGCAACCATCCATTTAAGAGGGGGCATATTTTGAGAAATGCCCAAATACCATACTGTGGATGGTTGCGAAATCCATGTTGCACCACTTTGAAACCATGGGAAACCATGGTTTGTTGGTATTTACAGGGGAATCATCATTCCAGGGTCTCCTAGGTGGTGCGAAATGGATTTCGTCCATCCACAGTAGTGAACCAGAATTCAACTTCCTAAGGAAGACAGGACGGGATGTGCATTGCTCAGGGCAAATTTGCCATCCAGGTGGACCAAAGCAGCGATCACGGTGGTGGTGCGGCAGTACGTGCAGTCACTTGAGGCGCATCGGCCGGCCTCCAGGAAGCCTGGAGGTGGACTTTTCGAGGGGTTGATTCCAATTCCATTCTTTTCAATCCATGGTTCTTTCCAAAAACCGATCGCTGTTTCCCTGGGTGTTTTGAAAGCTGCTGAAAAGAAGGATCCCTGTTAAAGCATGGGGGAAGTGTCCCCGAGAACTTTAAACTTGTTGGGAAGACCATGCTAGCCTTGGTGGCTCCCAGCCATCCGGTTCGTTAGCTTAGACTTTTCGTGTTTCCATTTGAGCCACTAAAAGTTCAACTTTTAGCAGGGGGATCTCAGGGCAGCCCACGAGCGGCAAACAAGAAGTTTGGACTCAAGTTTCGGCCAATCCATTCAATCAGAGGTGCGCCTAGAAGCTAATAAACCTTTTGGGGGCCTTTGCTTGCTCGGGCGACTTGAGGCGACCTCGCAATTTGGGCCCTCGAAATCTTGGTGCAGCCAATTTGACCACTGGCTCTGGCCCATGTTTCCAACCCCCAAGAAGCGCTCTGGATTGGCTTCAGGGTTTGAAGTTTGGGGGTCCAAACCAATGGGAAATTCCATTTTGGGGTAGGTGAATTCACCCATTTTAGAACCTGTTTTGGTGGTTGGATTGGGATGTTCACTTGGCTACAATTTGGATTTTGACCCATGGCCAGCTGATCTTTGAGCCCGACCCACGCCACCGCCAGGGCTCGGCGGAAGCGCACTCCGCGCGAAGCCTCCTTCGGGCCGCCCACGCGGGCGAGATGTGCTTTGTTGCATTTTGCTTGCATCAACTCTTAATGGAAAACCTATTAAGGGAAAACCCATTAGGACTTTAACTTTTTGCCAACTAATGGATTTCCATTAAACCACCAATGGGTTTTCCATTCAGCAGCCGAGGGCGGAAGTCGAGGCGTTGCTGGAGGCGCCCTGCGACCCCGACGCCGTGAAGAAGGGCAGTCTGAGGACGGCGCTGTATGCGGCAGCGGAGCAAGGCGAGGTTGGGAGCAAGCGGAAGGAACGAGTCCTGCTTTTTGAACGGGGGCCCACACCGTGGCGTGTCCTTTTCTTTTGAAACCAAAATACACCAGCATAGACCCCAGATAGCACACCACGGCTACGAACCATGACGCAGCATTGTCACGATGATGATACCACAGCCACTGAGCATGGTGCGCTACAAACGCGCATACAACGTCCTAATGAGTTCAGCAGCATAATGATGATGTTGAGAGCATCATGCTGGTACAGTTCTGATGAGTTCGACAGCATCATGATGATGCGGACAGCATCATGATGATGCGGACAGCGTCATGGCAATGCAACCAGCATCATGCTGATGGTAAAGGCAGCATCATGATGATACAGCCACGAACCATCTTGCGACAGCGTATCAGCATCATCCTGATGTTGACAGCATCACGGCGCCACTACAACCACAAACCATAACGCAGCATCGCAGTGACCCCAGTTGCAGCAGGACGTGGTTGGAGCCACGAACCGTTACGCGCGAACAGCATCCACCAGCACCCCAAACTGCGTGCCCCTCCACCAGCACCCCAAACTGCATGCCCCCTAGCACCCGGCCGTCAAGCTCGCAAAACAGCATCCACCGGCACCCCAAACTGCATGCCCCCAAGCACCCGGCCGTCAAGCTCGCAAAACAGCATCCACCAGCACCCCAAACCGCATCCACCAGCACCCCAAACTGCATGCCCCTTAGCACCCGGCCGTCAAGCTCGCAAAGCAGCATCCACCAGCACCCCAAACTGCATGCCCCTTAGCACTCGGCCGTCAAGCTCGCAAAGCAGCATCCACCAGCACCCCCAAACTGCATGCCCCCTAACACCCGGCCGTCAAGCTTGGAAAGCAGCATCCACCAGCACCCCAAACTGCATGCCCCCTAGCACCCGGCCGTCAAGCTCGCAAAGCAGCATCCACCGGCACCCCAAACTGCATGCCCCCAAGCACCCGGCCGTCAAGCTCGCAAAACAGCATCCACCAGCACCCCAAACCGCATCCACCAGCACCCCAAACTGCATGCCCCTTAGCACCCGGCCGTCAAGCTCGCAAAGCAGCATCCACCAGCACCCCAAACTGCATGCCCCCTAGCTCCCGGCCGTCAAACAGCATCCACCGGCACCCCAAACTGCATGCCCCCAAGCACCCGGCCGTCAAGCTCGCAAAACAGCATCCACCAGCACCCCAAACCGCATCCACCAGCACCCCAAACTGCATGCCCCCTAACACCCGGCCGTCAAGCTTGGAAAGCAGCATCCACCAGCACCCCAAACTGCATGCCCCCTAGCACCCGGCCCTCAATCTCGCAAATCACTTTCCACTCTTTATTAGAAGTTAGAACCCCTATAGCTTTCAGCTATCTGGGGAACAAATGAAAGGGGTTCTATGACACCCGTTTGACATTGATATTTTCTGGTGCTTCAAAGCGACCCCCAAAACGGGCGCCTGAGGTGTCCACCATTTTTGTTAGATGCATGTATATAACCGTATATATATATATATATGTGTTTTGTGTTGTTTCATGTAGCTTTTGTGGGGTCAATTACATATTTACGAAGCAGAGTCAGACAACTATGTTCGAAGTACCCCAGAGGGCCCAATGTTTCAAAGACCTCCGGTAGCTTGGTGAATTAGAATTCGCCCAGTGCTTCCTATTGCTTTTATGGTTTGTGCCTTGATTAGAACCCCCCCCCCCCCGAGTTGTTGATCAGCGCGTTCCACTGGAGAAAACCGACTAGAAAGACACTCCCTTATCTATCCCCCGCTTACTCGAGGCCTGACTTGCGAAACTCTGGGGCGCTTCCCAGTTGCACCGGCCGCAACTGGGGTGAGCGCAGCAGACAGACCCATCTGACGGGCAGGGGATGTGGGAGTTTTATTGATCCGTGGTTCGAATGAGGCAATTTCTTGGTTTGGCTGGTCAGCGGGAAACGACCCATTCGCCTCCAAGCCACAAATAGGGAAGCTGCAATAGAACCAGAGCCCAAGGAGTTTTGACGCAGGCCACGTGGATGTTGCCCGTTGCTTGCTGGCAGCCGGCGCTGACGTGAACAAGGTCGACGAGAACGGCAGAACGGCGATGTATGCTGCAGCCCTCAACGGGCACCAGGACTGCCAGACTCGGCACAAACATAGGCGTCCTTTTCAGTTAGTTGGATTAAAAATAGATAGCACTGGTTTAGGTGGGTTTTATGGCCATTTACCAGGGTCATCTATTGTTCCAAAGGCCACCTATGGGCACAAACCTCTTTCAGGTTGGGCAACTCTTTACTAGGTCCCCCAGCTAGCCCTTTTACCGTTTCTTGTTTTGTTGGGAGGGTTCCCCTAAAATAGACTACAGAAGAAGGTTGGTACCCTTATTCTAACCTCTCCACTGGAGGACCTGGCCTTAGTTGACATAGAGTTTTCCCCAAGAAACAGATGAACGTTTGCGCCAGAAATTGCCAACAGCAAGTTGTTTTCTAGGCTCTTCCTCAACCACAAGTTCGGTTTGCCAACAAACAAGTCTCTCATTCCATCTCTTTCGCCGAATTGGGCGGTTAGGACGTTGTGCGCGAGTTCTTGGAGGCCGGCGCGGACAAGGACCACACGGACAACGAGGGCCAAACGCCGCTGCAGATCGCCGCAACATGCCGCCATGTGGGAGCCGTGCGCTGCTTGCTGAGGGCCATTCGGCGAAGTCGGGCAACCAAAGGGAGGCTTACCCTTCGTATGTTCTTTTTTGTTTCTTGACTTCGTCCAACCTGTTTCCTGACTCTGTTTCCTGACTCGCCCCCTCACCCCGATTTTGGTGGTTTAAAGGCAAACCTTAACAGGAAAACACACTCTCTTTTCTTGGGGGGCGGAAAAGACACACCCAACCAGACGTTGCTTAAGCCTTGTTTAAGAGATGGTTCAAGGATGTTTGGAACCAGTTTGGCTCAACCATGAAGGCCAGGGCCTTGGTGAATCGCGTGGATCGCGGCGGCTGCACACCTTTGCATCATGCTGCCAGGGAAGGACACCCGGAAGTGGTGCAGTGCTTGCTGGCCGCCGGCGCTGAGAAGGTTGTTGGGGGGGGGGAGAATGGGGCGAGGGGGGGGTGAGGGGGGGTGGGGGGGTGGTGTTGGGGAGGACCAGGCCGGCAAGGGAGGCGACACGCCGCTGCTCTTTGCGGCGGCCAAGAACCGGCCGGAAGTGGTTTCTTGCTTGCTGGAGGCCGGCGCTGATATGAACAAAGCCAATAAATCTGGCTTCACAGCCTTGCACGTTGCTGCATCTTCTGGCCTCCGGAAGGTGTTTCGTTACATGCTGGAAGCCGGTGCTGACAAGGATAAGGCCAGCAAGGGCGGCCTGACAGCTTTGCATTTCGTTGCCATGAACGGGCATCAGGATTTCTTGAGTCGCTTGCTAGAGGCTGGAGCCGACAAGGACAAGGCCGATGATGAAGGCGCTACCCCCTTGCATGCAACTGCATTGAACGGCCACCAACGATTGTTGCGCTGCTTGCTATCAGCTGGCGCTGACAAGGATAAGACTGACAAAGACGGGCGAACGCCTTTGAACATCGCTGCCAGGAGCGGGCACCAAGAAGAGTTGAGTTGCTTGCTAGAAGCGGGAGCTGACAAGGACAAGGCGGATCATCAGGGTTTCACTCCCCTGCACGCTGCTGCGTTTTCGGGGCAGGAGCAAGCCCTAGGCCGCTTGCTGGAAGCTGGCGCTCACTTGGATTTGACGGACAAAGAGGGTCGAACCCCAATGAACGTCGCTGCTTGGCACGGGCACACCTCTGCGGTGCAACGATTGCTGGAAGCCCGCGCTGACAAGGACAAGGCCGACCGGCACAGCTGCACGCCCTTGATCGCTGCAGCTCGAAACGGTCATGAGGAAGCCGCGCGGCGCTTGCTGGAGGTGACTTGAAGGAGGCAAAAAGGCGGCATCTACCAGGTGAACTCGCCTGACTGATCGTTCAATCTTCCAATCCTTCGATGCCACAATGGCCCTGTTGGTAACCCACCGTATGTCTCATTGCTCATCCATGTGTGTGTGTGTGGGGGTTTTTGAGGGTACCCATGGTCAAAATTTGGGGTCGTGTTGGGACACCAGCAGGAAACTACCCATCTTGCGATCCCCTAATTTTGAGACACTGCCATATTCAATGCCTTGGAAAAAGTCATCAGCTGGAGTGATTCCTTTCAACCTACCACTCGGAAAGTGAGTTAGCTTGCATGAAGATCACTCCCTGAGCTGGACTTTATAATTTGGGAACACAACTTTAGTGGCTACTCACTTATTGTTCTTGAACCCTGCTGATACTAGACCCATGGCAAAGTCACACGCGTCGCGACCTTTTCGCGCGATCACTGAATCGCCCTTGAAGCCTGGGTGCCTGTTCTTGTGCCAAAAGTTGCAACCCGGTTATGCTGTCTCTTACTTGATTCGTGGATCGGCGGTTTGGAGCGGTTGGGGGGAGAGGTTTGGAGTTGTGAAGGTGTGAAGGGGCTTCATTCAGGGTTCCAATTCCCAAGCCTGCCATCCAAGCCGTCTCTTCAGAGAACATGTGATACTGGATGAACGAAATCCTTTTCGCACCACTTTGAAGCCATGGCAAACCATTGTTGATTGGTATTTGCAGGTGAAACATCTGAAACTGAACTTCGAAGTGCACCTGACAGGCTTAAGGGGGGGCACACCCTCAACGAGGGGGGGGGAGGGTTCTGATCAATCCGCGAGTCCGGGGCAGCCTGACAAATGGGCGGTGTCCAAGGCACACAGGAAAAAGAAACTCTGAGATTCTCTGCGTTTCGTGAAGCCTGGAAAATGCCGTGCTTTTTCCCCCTGGTGCCACGGGTAGGGAAGGATTCTTTCCGAGTTTTGAGGTGTTGGTTGAATGAACCGGTTTTGGGGATTTTAGATGGTTTTTCGTTGGTCGTTCCATTTCTCATTCGCCGCCTATCGAACCAGCAAGTCGTGTTTTTGTTCTGTGGCTTCCCAAAAATTGGTCCTGGCCCTCAAAATGGGTTTCCGTTTTCGAGCGAACTGGTCACTTCTTTGGCTTTGCTCAGGCTGCCTCGGCTGAGCCTGAGCGGAGCATTTAATTCGGAGTTTGACTCCTTCGCAGCCCTTTTGGGGGGCGTAGGCAAGCCAAGAGCCATCCATTTTGGATTTCGGGGTTTCTTTTGGAACGGAAGGACGCCTCAGAAACAGCTGGGGGGGGTGCATGTCTTACTTCAGGTGTCGGTGGGTTTTGGGGAAGGCTTTTCGGAAGGCTCGAGCTTGAGCCCGCTGGTTCTCTTTTGAGAAGAACAGAATGGTGTGAGATCCTCAGGTGCAACACATTCTGCGCAAGAAGGGCACCTTTTGGTAAACCCTCAGACATGATGTTGTCGTTGGGAAACGTTTGAAACATGTTTGCTGATTGTGGTTTAGTGGATTTGAAATCCAAATCCACTTAACTGCTAGAGTTTGAGAATGTTTGCTCCCCAAACCCAACGTCAACCATCCACAAAGATCCGATTTTTAGTTTAGCGGAACCTCCGCAATTGAAACGGTGGCAGAGAGCCCCGTGGCAGAGAGCCCAGGGCTAAAAACCTGCAGGTCGCTGAACTCGTGGCTCCACTTTGCTCGAAAAGGCGAAAGGGATCATCTGCGAGCCTGGAGGAACCCTAGGTCCCCCAGCAATTGGTGCCCTTTCTCACCGACTTTTTTGGTTGAGAGGGTTTCCCTACTAAAATCGACTACAGAAAAAATCGGGTACCCTTATTCGAACCTCTCCACCGGAGGATCTAGAACCTGTTCCTCTTCGGTATTTTCCTTCCACCCGCCAAGAGCTGCTGTTTTCCCATGTCCAAAGTCCCAAGTAGTCTCACAAAATCAGAGGTTGGGGCCTGGGTGCTGCTTGGTGTTCCTTGCAGTGGCGACGCTTGGGCATAGTCGATTGAAAGTAGGGCGGAGGCTCGTCCGAATTTTCCCATCAGTTCACTTCCCGAGTTCATGGACCTCAAGCTGTATTGGACGACCATGTTAGTTGGCAAACTTAAAGTTTGCACTTTTGTTGGGCCAATCCACTCAGGAAATTAGTGGTCCACATAAAGTGCTTTGGGCCAAATGTTAAGCTGTCGATGTCTGACGCGACTCTGAGCAGTGCTGCTTGACCCAGCGCCCTTCGGATCCTTTTGGCTCACCGGTAGTTTTTGTCCCTGGCCACTGACGAAGTGGAACACATCGGCTTCGCCTTTTTTCCGCTCATGGGGTCTGGGGTCAAAGTGAGAAATTTTTGGAGCCCCCAATATCCTGCACCTCTGGTGGCTTGTCTACCCTGCTACATCCAATTGCTAAAGAGCATGGTTCAACTCTTGCTGGTTTAAAGGGAGTCGATTTCACTACTGGAAATATGATTTATATTTGTTTTTTTTTCCCAGGGGGCTTAAGCAAATGGAAGCAACACACAAGGTGATGTGTCTTTCTCGGACCCTGGTGGAGCAGAGCATGCTATCTCAGTAGGTCCTCTGTGAGCTTGTGAGCACCCTGCAGAAGATGCGTGTTTCTCAAAATTGGAGGCTCCAAGTGGCCAGTCAATGATTCCTTTCGGGTTTCCTCTAGCTGCCCGAAGCTCTAGAAACACCTTCCATTTCCATTCTGAGCCCAGGGATCCTTCTCGATCTTTCTAAGCCTCCGGACAAGGGAAAAGAGCGATCGGTCTTTGAAAAGAAGGATGGTTGAGAAGAATGGACAAGGAATCAACCCCTCGAAGAACAGCCATGAATCACATCAGGCAGAGCCTGGGTTGGTTCCGTATCTAAGAAACACAACCCTCCTGCGAAGTCGGGTTTTGGCGCATGTATTAGCTCTAGAATTAGGTTCTCTATCCTTGAGACACGCCCAAAACCTCCAGCCAAGTGCATCGCCTTGCCCTGGCCAGGCCTGTAATTAAGCAGCTGCTCACCTACTTAACCCTGGGTTCTGATTCGATTCCTACTGTGGATGGCTGCGAAATCCATGTCGCACCACCTACGAAACCATGAGGGTCATCACGGCATTTGGATCATCGCACCGTTTCGGCTCCGGATCGGTGGCCAAATGGTCAGCCGTGGCATTTGTGCGGCCATCCCGAAAAGCGCGAGGTGAAAGCGAAAGGCAGTGGTCATAAAAGTTCTACTAGGATGGTTCATTCTACTTCTTTGGGAGCATCCTGAAGCCAGAGCAGCATTTCCAACTTGCGGCTTGTAATGTGCGTATGTAAGGCAAACTTGAATCCTTCGAGTGTCACACAAGGGCCCAAATCCCAATAGGAGTACTAGAAAATCCGATGGCGAGCGCCGAGTTAGATGGAGAGAGCTTCTACGACCTTCTCCGGAAACTGGAGGAGGTGCATTTCCGGGAGGTGGCCGAACTGTGCCTCGCCCGGGAATCGGAATATATCGACCAGTTAATGGCTTAAAAGTATGAATCGGCTTAGATATGGAAGAGGTTTGGATGGGCCAAGAACACGGAGCATCGATCACCGGTGCCCCTAGCCAAAAAACACACTCGCCGCGGCGATGCGATTTGTTCGGAGGCCCCATGGTTCGAATTGGGGTGGAGGTCCTGGAGTTTCAGCAAAGCCTTCATCAAAACGCCGGTGCCTCAACAAACGTGGCACCCTCCAATCAACACGTGGAACCGTTCGACGTTCACAACCCGGTCCCAGGCCCCGAACGTTGTCCCTGTAAGAGGAACATGGTCCAAACCAGGACCCGGACGTCGAACGGGTTCCGGTGGTGAATTGCTGGGAGGCTACCCATGTTTTGGTTTGGTAAATAGAAAGGCCCTAAAACCTGCGGGCCCTAGCTTCGACCTCGTTCAGCTCCGAGCCCGGAGCGCGTTGAATTTGGGTGACCCCCAAGGCTTTCAGCTGGGATGGAGATACTCCTAGGTCCCCCAGTCGTTTTTGGGGGACCAAAATCCCAGAATGGTGGTCGTCCTTTGGTGTCCCTTCAAGAACCACCAAAAAAGAGATGCCAACTCCAAGAAAGACAGACAAAAATACAGGTTTGGGACTGGACGGGGATTTGGAAAAACGGAGATTCATGGGTGGTTCCATAGGCATCCCCTTTGGTTTCCTTTAAGGGAATCCCTAGGTTCATTGCCGAAACCCTTGGTGATTCCCCCAGCAAGTTGTTTTTTGTTGGGGAAGGGATAGTTATTCCTGTGTCTATGGGTAGAAGCATATCCTGACCGTCTCATAGGTGCCATGGTGGGACACTCGAAAACTTTCGAGATCATTCCTTTCAACACAGCATGTTTTTTATTCTTCGTCTTTTTTTCTCAAAAGCCAGGAGTCTAGTGTTTTGGGCAAGATTCGGATTCCTGGCAGATCCCTGGGAAAGTACCTCACAAACAAATCAGCCGTGGCTCGCCAAGAAAGGGTTCATGTCCTCAAACGAGATCAACCCTGAAGTTTTCCTTTCTCAGGGATGGCTTTCACAGTAAGACTGACCCGTGGCTCCTTTGTGCCCCGTTGCAACTCTTCGTTTGCAGCTCCTCCTGTAGCCGGGAGCAGCCCACCGGACCCCTGGGGTAACCGGGATTTTGACGCTCAAATCCATGGCCATGTGTCCCCCCCCCCTTGGGTGCCCTTCCTTTCACCTTCGGAGCTCCAGCGAAGCGACGTCCGGCTTCGCTATAGCTCCTGAGGCAAGGCCAGCTGAAGTCCGCGCCGGAGCGGCCCGCGCTGGGCCCCAAGCTGGAAAACCCCCTGCCGCTGGAACTTCCGCCAGACCACGAGGCCGGAACGGGTCTCGGCTGGATGGAAGCGAAGGGAAGATTTGCAACCAGTCGGTGTCCTTTTTAGGTTAGATGGATGAAACATGGATGGGTTCCGCTGGTTTCGGTGGGGGTTCTTCCATTTACCAGGGGAACCCATCGATTTTTCCAAAAGGCCGCCTATGGTTGCATACCTAAGCCCCAACCAATGCCCAACCTGCGGGACAGAGATGGGGGGAATATCAGCTGAGGCTTTTCTTTAAAAAAAAAAAGAAGAGTGAAGTGAAAATCGCTGCCAGTGGGTTCCGGTTCAGTGCTTCAGGACCACCTTGAGCTTGCAGGCCGTGCCCGTTTTCGTGGGAGGGGTTGGTTGTCAAAGCAAAAGGTTGGGCGGTTCGTTCAAAAAACCATGGAGTTTTACTGATTTTAGGTGTTTAGTGTTTAGTTGGGGGTGCCCATTTAACCCACTATGAAAAAACAAGATGAGGACGGGCCAATTTGACACACACACACACACACTCACTCATTTACCATTCCGCGGCTCTCTCCCTCTCGCTGTAGGCGTCTTGCGCTGTCCTTGTTTTCTAGAATAGAGACGTTTGCTTTGGACCCCGTTTGCTTTTCCAAACGGACGACCCTGCCGGGTGAACAGTGCCTAGCCCAGAGATCGCAGAGGTAAACCTCCATGTCTCCAGAACCCATGGATTCTGGAGTCACGGGGCGGTCCAAGGGGGGGGGTGCCAGGAAACTTAGGGCTTAAGGAAGCCTAGGCTCTCAACTACCCGCCCCCCTTGTACCCTCAGGGATTCCAGCACTGAACATGGCCCCTTTCTTGAAGAGAAGAATATCTTAGGGCTGCTCAGGGAGATGGTGAGTTCCGGGGGGGGGGGGTCGTGTCCTCGTTGGGGTTGGTTAAAAGGCAAGCCCTGGAAACTCCCAGGAGGTGGCACCCGGCGTCTCAAGGCTCCTGCGAAGTCCAATCTGACCTGTGTCGTTGTTGTCTCATGTCTGAGAAGTGATGCGTTCACTTTCAGAAAGCTACATGCATCATGTCTGGACTTTTTATGGGAGGAAACTGCCATATATTGGATCCTGTAAAGAGTCTCAAAGCGATTGGTTCGCTTCATTCTCTTCATTTGGCAAGCAAGTCACCCAACCGCCTACAACCCAAACCCTCAGCAGGGTTGGAAGCAGGCGGGTGCTTTCCCACTTCTGTGAAGGGAAGGCCCTGCTTGTGAAAGAATGAGTCATTGGGAAGGGTGTCCACATGGTTCCATGTTTGGGTAGACTTAAACCAAGGTTCCCGCTTTGTCCCTGTGTTTAAATCTAGGAGGATGTCTGAATTCCCACAACCCTCTGCAGAGTCCATCAATCCGGCCCAGATCAACCCCCGTCCTTTCAAACCAGTTCAAAGCACAGGTCGATGTATCCGTCCACATTTCCCCAGACCTCAGTGGTGCCCTTGTTTCAACTTCTTTTCGGAGCGGATTTGTTTGGTCAACTCAAGTACTCCCAAAGAAAGCGTCGAGAAAGGTACATCCTTTCCTGTCCCAAAAAAGCAAGTGCCCTTTCTTCCGCAATGGAAATCCACGGGAGGGCCAAGCCATGGGAAACGAGCTATAGCCCACCTTCTTTGCATTTGGCCAGGGCCATCTCTCCCCTTTTTTGGGGGAGGGTTCCCCTACTAAAATAGGCCACAAAAAAAAGATCGGGCGCCCTTAATATTATAACCTCTCTACTGGAGGACCTAGATTCTATCATGGCAGCCCGAACATGGGTTTCTTTGAGGGCGCCCCTTTGTTGGTGGGTCTAAAGGGAACCAAAAGGATAACCACCATTTGGGGGGGGGGGTCCTGTCTAAAAAAGAAAGCGCAAAACACCTATATATCCGAACATGTAATTTTCCGTGTGCCCAAATTTTAAGCGTACCCATTTTTTGACCCAGATTAGACCACCACAGGGACCCATTTGCCCCGTTTGAGATACCAAGGGAATCCCCTTTCAAGTGATCAAATTGTCCTGGGATGTCCTGGCAACGACCGTGTGGTGTCGCAGATGGGTGAGTTTCCGAGTTTCCACCACCTTGGGCACCTTTCCAATCAAGATTTAGATTGCATGCCCCAAAAAAGACCGTAGTCACGCGGATCAGTGTTTCGAGCTTGGGTGAATTTGATTTTCCTTCGCGTAGAGATGGGAAACCACCCCCGGAACACCGAACAGATCCAAGCCACTTTGACTGATTTCTACTTACTGGGGATGGACGAATTCCTGCACCACTTGGGCACCATGGGAAACCATTGTTTCTTGGTATGTCACAGGGAAAATCATTATTCCTGGGTTTCTTAGGTGGTCTGAAATGGATTTCGTCCATCCACAGTATTGCAAGAAGATCCATGCAGGCGCCAGTGCGGCCTCGCGTACCTAGGGGGGATGTGCTGGAGGTGTCTGCAGACACTTCCCGGGAGGCACGCCGTGCAATCGCGCGAAAGAGATCTGGGCCAAAGTCTTCCTCGGCGGTTTGGCCGGATTGTTAAGCTTTAACTTGTGCAAACACAAGCCTTAACCTGAAATGTTCAACCTCTGGCCGGATTGTTCTAGAATTGACCTTTAACCTTTAGTTGATTGTCTTTTGCTCATCCAGCAGGCAAACAGTTAAGCGTTTTGGGCAGGGGACCACAAGATTTGCACTGCGACCTATGACGGTTTCTTGCTTGGGTCCCTTTCAGGTTGGCAAGTTGGTTTTCCACCCAAACAAAAGCAAAGAGGTTGATCAGGTTCCCCTCAATTGGTGGTTTGGGGCTTTGGACTGCAGAGGGCAAACGGAAGCTGCCCTTAACCACCAAATCACCAATCCAAAAATCAAATAGTGGGAAGCTGAGTACAGAGAACCATGTTGATGTCTGTTGATCTTTGTAATATTCGATCTGTGCGTTGACGCTTGTTGTCTGTGTGTCTTAAACTTAGGGACCCCGATTTGTTCATTTTCAGCCTGAATGGGCTTTTGGTTCTGAGGCAGACCACAATATGTCGATGCTCGTTGCAGTGTCGTTCGTGCGTGCGTGTGCGTGTGCGTGTGCGTGTGCGTGTGCGTGTGCGTGTGCGTGTGCGTGTGCGTGTGCGTGTGCGTGTGCGTGTGCGTGTGCGTGTGCGTGTGCGTGTGTGTGTGTGTGTGTGTGTGTGTGTGTGTGTGTCTGTTGATGTCTGTTGATGTCTGTTGATTTCTGTTGATGTTTGACGATGTTTGATGTTGTGTGATGATGGTTGATGATGGTTGATGATGGTTGATGATGGTTGGTGATGGTTGATGATGGTTGATGATGCTTGATGCTTTCCGATTGCGTTTGATGACATGTGATGCTTGTTGACGGTGGTGGGGGTGCGGGTGGGGGTGGTGACTGGTGGTGATGCTGAGTTTGATGTTGATGTTGATGTTTGATGTGTGCGTGTGTTGGCCGTTGATGTTGGCGGACGCGTCTGTGTTTGTGTTTGTGTTTGTGTTTGTGTTTGTGTTTGTGTTTGTGTTTGTGTTTGTGTTTGTGTTTGTGTTTGTGTTTGTGTTTGTGTTTGTGTTTGTGTTTGTGTTTGTGTTTGTGTTTGTGTTTGTGTTTGTGTTTGTGTTTGTGTTTGTGTTTGTGTTTGTGTTTGTGTTTGTGTTTGTGTTTGTGTTTGTGTTTGTGTTTGTGTTTGTGTTTGTGTTTGTGTTTGTGTTTGTGTTTGTGTTGTGTGTTGTGTGTGTGTGTGTGTGTGTGTGTGTGTGTGTTGTGTGTGTGTGTGTGTGTGTGTGTGTGTGTGTGTGTGTGTGTGTGTGTGTGTGTGTGTGTGTGTGTGTGTGTGTGTGTGTGTGTGTGTGTGTGTGTGTGTGTGTGTGTGTGTGTGTGTGTGTGTGTGTGTGTGTGTGTGTGTGTGTGTGTGTGTGTGTGTGTGTGTGTGTGTGTGTGTGTGTGTGTGTGTGTGTGTGTGTGTGTGTGTGTGTGTGTGTGTGTGTGTGTGTGTGTGTGTGTGTGTGTGTGTGTGTGTGTGTGTGTGTGTGTGTGTGTGTGTGTGTGTGTGTGTGTGTGTGTGTGTGTGTGTGTGTGTGTGTGTGTGTGTGTGTGTGTGGTGTGTGTGTGTGTGTGTGTGTGTGTGTGTGTGTGTGTGTGTGTGTGTGTGTGTGTGTGTGTGTGTGTGTGTGTGTGTGTGTGTGTGTGTGTGTGTGTGTGTGTGTGTGTGTGTGTGTGTGTGGTGTGTGTGTGTGTTGTGGTGTGTGTGTGTGTGTGTGTGTGTGTGTGTGTGTGTGTGTGTGTGTGTGTGTGTGTGTGTGTGTGTGTGTGTGTGTGTGTGTGTGTGTGTGTGTGTGTGTGTGTGTGTGTGTGTGTGTGTGTGTGTGTGTGTGTGTGTGTGTGTGTGTGTGTGTGTGTGTGTGTGTGTGTGTGTGTGTGTGTGTGTGTGTGTGTGTGTGTGTGTGTGTGTGTGTGTGTGTGTGTGTGTGTGTGTGTGTGTGTGTGTGTGTGTGTGTGTGTGTGTGTGTGTGTGTGTGTGTGTGTGTGTGTGTGTGTGTGTGTGTGTGTGTGGTGTGTGTGTGTGTGTGTGTGTGTGTGTGTGTGTGTGTGTGTGTGTGTGTGTGTGTGTGTGTGTGTGTGTGTGTGTGTGTGTGTGTGTGTGTGTGTGTGTGTGTGCGTTTGTGTGTGTGCATGATGAGTTTCATGTTTGATGTGTCTTGATGGGGTGGTGTTATGCGTTGATGTTGAGATAGATGATCGTTGGTTGGTGCTTGGGTGAGATTGGTTGTTGACACTAGTTGTTGGAGCTAGTTGACAATTGTTGGTGTGTGTGTGTGTTGAATATGTGTTGCGTGTTGTCTGGCCGTTCTCAGGGTACCCGGACCTCATACGCTTCTTGTGAGGTGGTTCTAAAACAGGTCCATGATTGTAAGAAGTGTGCATGTGCATGGTGTTGTTTGCTGATAACTTGCTCAACGATTGTTTGTTGACTATGTTGATGACTTTGTTGTTGCTGTGAAAGAAACACAAATGTTGAAGGCGTGAAGGGGGCTAATCTGTTGGTTTCCTTTTTGAGATTGTCCCCAAACAATGTCATGTGATGTCAATCGACACATAGGAGCAACTGAGAATATGCCAGGTCTACTGTCCAGTTGGAGGACATTGAGTTCCCCCTAAATTTCCCAATTCAATCCTAGACCCGCTTCTCCCATGGCCTCTTTGGGAGCAAGTCGATGATCCGAACATTTCCAGACCAAAGGCTTCTCTTTTCAATTGCAGCCTTTTCTTAGTTCATCTTCCCTTACAACGATTTTAAAGCCCGGGTATCTCCCAACAGCCCGGAACCCTTTTGAACCCTTTTGAACCTCCCTGAAAGCTGTCCCAAACCACAGAGATCTTAGGGCTATCCACAAAGCTTCCGCATCCTGGTATCTACTTCCAGACGGGTCAAGTCAATGGCAAATGCTCCGAAAGCTTTGCCCTGGAACTGGCTTAGAACCAGGGTGAACTTAGCAAATCCTCTCACACCATCCATTGGAGTCCTTGTGTTGACTGGGGGAAATCAATGTCAGAAACTGGTGGGTGGTTTCCCCTTCACCTACCACTGAAAAGGGGTCAAACAATTTGGCAGAGCTTCGAGCTCGACCGAACTCGCCGACATGTCGCCCTTCTCGAGTTCCAGCGCTTGTCCATGCTGAGCCCCCCGAAGCAGCAGCAGCAGAAGCCCAAAACCTTTTGGGCCTGCCAGGATCTCGGTGATCGGTCGGTCAGTCGCCGTGTTCTCCGTTCTCGGTGTTCAAGTGGGAATGGCTCGTGGGCAGTGGGCTTTGGGGGGAGGGGGGCTAAAAATGGAAACTAAGTGCACAGGGCGGAATCGAATTTGGCATTTTTAACTTGGGGGTTGCTCTCGGAACACCCGGACAAATCTTCGATTTCGTTGCAAGCCCAACAAAACCCTGACAGACCCATGTCAACGGATGGCCCCGCAGCGATAAGATGTTCTTTTCGAGTGTGGTTTCTCACTCGAGTTGGACTGATTGAGGAACCCTTAGGGTGCCTGTTTCTTGAGAAATGTGAAAACCGCCAAATCACCAATCCAACCACCAATGAGTTGGAAACTGCCTATGCGGTTTGGGGAAGATCAGTTCAGTGTTGGATAAGATGTTGAGGCTTGGTTTTGGGCAAACTCAGGAAGTGAGTTGTTCAAAAGCCAATTGGGAGCACCCCGATTCGGGAATAGATGTCAAAGGCAACACGTGAACCTCGTGGTGTCCACAGACTGCCTAAAGACACCTGTCAATCAAAAAGGTGCGTCTTTTTCCGGGCCCTTTTCAACAGAAAACCACTTTTTTTTCTTTTTTTTTTTGGGGGGGGGGGGCGGGACAGTCGGAGGTGCATGCCCCCCTTAAGCCAAGGGGGTTGTTTGAATTACGTGTGGTTTGCTTGATCGGGGGAGCCCACCATGTGTTTTTTGGTTGTGCTTTTTTAAGTGTTTCTTGTGCGGGTTTGTTTCTTGGGAAAGCTGGTGTTCCTGTTTGGAGACTCCTCTCAACCGACGTGGAAACTTCTGCAAGAGGATCATCTACATGCGCTTCTGTGACGAATCATGCTGGAGTTGCGTGCGGGAAGCTTGGCCACAGAGCGAAGGACTGCGACAGACGTGGAAAGTGAAGGTGGAGAACAAAGGCGAGAACGAGCTCCACAAGGCGTGGAGCTGGAGCTGGGCTCAGATGCGCAGATTGTGGCCATGGACTTGCAGGACAAAGCGCTGACTGTGGACTCTGCAGACATCTCTGTCCCAGAGAACAACTTGAGGTCGCTCATAGTTGACGCTTAAACCCACCGGCCCACCATAGTTAGTGCCTTTTTCTAGCCGCTGACCAGTCCGTAACGCCTAGTTTCCCCAACAAAGAAACCAAAATATGATGGGCTTTCCGGACCTATGTAGCCCCCAGTTTATGTTGTTGTCCATTTGCCTGTCAGGGGAGACTCTCTGTGTCAGACCTCACTCCGTCAGTAACTAGGCGGTTTACGGCTTGTTAGAACTGGTTTTAGGGTGGGTTTGCGCTTGAGTGGGTTGTCGGGTGGATGTGGGGTTGGTTCAGGATGGTCTAGGCTTGCTTACGTGTGTTCAGGGTGGGTTTAGGATCCGTTTAGAGCTTGGGTGGTTTAGGGTTGGTTTGGAAGTTTGGCTGGGTTTAGGTTGGTTCAGGGTGGATTTAGGGTGGTTCAGGGACGGTTTGGGTTGTTTTAGGGTGGGTTTGGTGTGGGTTTAGGGTTGGCGTAGGGTCAGGGTAGTTTAGCTTTGCTTTAGGGTTTGTTAAGGGGTGTAAGGTTGGTTCAGGATGGGCTTAGGGTGGGTGTAGGGTTGGCTAAGGGTGGGTCGGTTTAGAGTGGGTAGGGTTCATTTAGGGCCGACTCTGGGTGTGCTTGGGGTTGGTTTAGGGTGCTCGGCGCTTCGCTTTGCTTCGCTTCGCTTCGCTTGCGTGCTTTGCTGGCTGGCTGGCTGCCTTGGCTGGGCGGTGAGCTGGCCATTTGGAAAAGCACATCGGATTCGGTACGGAAGAAGCCTTTTGTTTGAAAGAAACCAATGGTTCACCCCTATTTAGCCCCCAAGTTTTGTCGTTTGTTGTGCGTTGGATGTTGTGGAAAGCCCACCGTGAATGAAGGGAAAAGGGAAATCATCACAAAACTGGGGTCGCCAGAGTTGGGCCCTGTGTGGCACGTTGTCTTCTTTGTAAGGAACCTTGGGTGGTCATCACGCAGATCAGTTGTATCCCCCACATTTGAGTGCGTCCCCCATTAAATTTAAGGCCATGTTTAATATGAATTGTCACTAGAACCAGGTCAGGGAAAGGTGAGTGTCTGGAAAATATGGTCCGGCCCAGGTTGTAATTCATATGTGCCCTGCATCCTTCTCCACAAGGGCCTTTCGCTTGGTCAGGCAATCACCTGCGTCTGTCTTTTCTTGGGGTAGCTTGCTTTTGCTGTTTTGTTCGGGAACCCAGAGGAGACACGTTCGCCTGTTTTTTGCGGGGTCCGATTCCCAAAAGACAAACCCTTTTAGGACAAGTCCTTTTAAGACAAGCCCTTTTAAGACAAACCGGCAGTGTTGGAAAACCCCAGTTGGGAACCCGAACAGGCCCCCCCCTGAAATCCCCTGAAGAGCATCGCCATGTTGGGAGGTTCCCCCCCCCCTTTTTCGAGAAATTCCCGTGGCAAGACAAACAAATTTAGCTGGACAACGCCCCAAGTTTGACTCGGTTGTTGTTGGGCCACATTTTGCATTTTTGCTTATTCTGGTTTAGTGGTTGAAATCTCCACTTGGCTGCTAAAAATTACATTGTTGCTCCCCTAACCCAACGTCAACCGAGTTTGCGTCAACAATCTCAAGACATATTATTCAGGGTAGACCACATGTTTGGGTGTGCCCATTTTTCAGCGCAACCCATCTGAGGGAAAACGCCAACCGAGTTCGAGGGAGACCAACGCCTCCATCCGCCCCAGGCTTCGAGTTCTGGGTGCGCAGCGAGCGCTTCGACATCTTCGCGGCTCGGCGGTAATGTCTGCGCGCGAGCGATGGGTCCCGTGGAAGTCTTCGGTGCCGTTGCCCCAGTGCCCTGGTCTCCCCTTTTTTGGTGGGGAGGGTTCCCTTAAAAAAAAGACTGCAGAAGAAGAAAGTACCGACTTATTCTAACCTCTCAAATCTGGAGGACCTAGCAGGTTTTCAGGTGTTGTTGGTTGGTTTAGTGGGGGCGAACCCAGTGGAAGTTAAAAACTGCTGTTGCCATGGTGTTAGTAAAGTTTTAGCTGCTGTTTGGATTATGTTCATGTTCAGGGGGCTGCAAACCACCAAGGTTTTTGGGCGACCAGAAAGGCTTGGAAAGTACTTGAAATATTTAACCCCATGTGAATTTAACTTGCGTCCCGGACACTCTGGGGCACATCGAAATTCGGAATTTATGTTCAACCACTGACATGCAACCCTAGATGGGAGGAATTGCGTGGTTTAGCCGGCTTTGGAACCCACCAAAGCCATTGTAAGAAGTGCAGGACAAGTCCCAGACCTAAGGCAAGATCTGACAGACACGGGTTGGATCTGTTGGATATTTCACTACTTTGTTGAAGCAACCACAAGAAAAACAACCGACCGTCGCTTTGTCATCCAACAAACAAAAAGCAATCGAAGGGATCGCATGCTAAAGGGAATGATTGTTTGGCTGGTTCAACCGCCAAAAAGCTCAATAAGCAGGAATATATCAAGCTCGGTTCAACCACCAAAGAGCAAACACTTTTCATATAACAGAGTCATGTGTATGTCCTTTAAACCAAAACAACATACTATGAATGATAATAGTACATAATACTGATAATAATGATAATAATAATGAATAAAAACAAATAGTAATTATTATTATTAATAACAACAATTAAGAATGGTATTAATAATAATAATAATGATAATAATGATAATCATAATAATACTAAGTAATAATATTAATTATTAGTTTGATAATAATATATTAAACAAAAACGAGTAAAAATAATAACACGCGGAAGAAAACACACAAACACCACAAAAATACACCAACAAAAAAAAACGCCCAACTTGGCATCTCGAGCTCTTTGACGCCCAGATCGCCTTCTTAGTCTTCGCCAACTTCATCACCATGGCCGCGGAGGTGCCCTGGGCGACCAAGCGACGGGGGGTGGGCGACCCCACGGTAGCCTCCCCGAGTTGCGCGTCCGGTTTCGGAAATGAAAGACCCGGCTGGGGGTATCGTCCAACCAGATGTTCTCTGGTTTGTTTGTTTTGTTTTGTTTTGTTTTTTTTCTCTTTTTTTTGGGGGGGAGGGGATTTGGTGGCCGGAGGGGTTCTCTTGTTTTTGTTGGTTTTCTTTTGAAAAGGAGGGGGGGTTGGTTTGGTTGGCAGAGGAAAATGATGGTTGCCGGAGTCAGAACAAGTCCATCTGCTGAAACGAATATGTGTTATGCCCCGCTCCTCCCTTTTGCTTTTAGAGGGAATCTATCACCGGACATATTTCTCATGTCCAGGGGACGTATTCGCATGTGGAGGTCATGGACGGGTTTCGTTTTTGGGAAGACCGGTGGAGCCGGCGCCAAAACGGCGCCAATGAACTGGATCGGAAGTGAGTCCATGTCAAGGTCCTGGGTGAATTGTTTCACGACGTCACACCGAAGACAAACCCCAAATAGTGGGGTTTATGTGGTTGGAATATTCCCCCAGCCGCAAGTTTCAGCGTGAAATATGATACTTCACCCAGGTTTTAGTGCCTGCTTGGTGGTTTGGAGCCCGGTAAGAACTGGGAATTGAAGCCCTGGTTCTTGCAGAGGGTAAATGAATCTCACCCCTCCGTCTCACCACGAAACCACCAAGTCGTGTCAGACAAGGTTCGCCTTTTTTTTTTTATCGCTCCAGGTCCTGTGCCAGGAAACCGCTCCACACATAAGCGGAGAATCCGTCGTTTGGAAGACCTTTGGTATCACAGAAGTGCATTCCCAACTTGGTTTGGGTCATGCCCACCCTGCTCGGCAGTTTGGTAGGTTATAAGCCAGGTTAGTTTTACAGGGGTATCTTCACTGTTTGGTTGATTCTTCGGACTTTAACTTTTGGTAAACAGCGAATTGTCCATTGGGCCCACAAAACGTTAACCTCTTTCCAGAGGGGGGGTCAACAGCAACCAAGGATATCTACTTACTAAGTTCGTTGAGCCTCCAAGTGGGCGACAAAGGGCAAAGCAGAAGAAGTGGCGGTTATAACCAATCCAGGGGTGTCATGGTAAGCTGGTGGTGGGCGCGGTTCGAGCAGCGAAGGGCGGTAGTGAAGCTGGGTGTTGAAAGCCCTCCCGTTGGATTCGTGGCTGGTATTGGCTTGGATCGTGAACCTGTTTTGGGCAAACGTGTGTTTCCCAACTGAGCCACAATCAAAACCCGGGTAGATGAAGGTTAGTAAGGGGCAGTCCCAGCCGGCAATAGTTGCGGCCTCCTTTCTAGTTCTTTGCATGGTTCTGGGATTACCATTTTTGTACCAGGTTTTGATTGTGACTCAACTAACCACCAAAAGTTAACCTTCGTGTGGGAGGTGTTGTTCACCTTGGTTCCCTTTGGTTTACCATCTCTTTGCCCACAGCGAAGCGAAGGCGAAGGGCTTGCTCTCACAGTTGGTTTGGTTCCCCTGATCCTGGGTCCCTGTTCCCTTTGGTTGCCTTTGGTTTGGTTTCTTCGGATTGCGGTGCGGTTCTTTGTGCCCAGTTGATCAATTCGCGCTGGGAAGCAGCCATTTGGAACTTGAGGGTTGAGCCGAGAAGTTCCCCCCGGAGAAAAAGGGCAAGATTGAAGTTGTTTTCGAGGGCAAAGGGCGACCCAAATTCAAGTTGGGAATCCCCAGGGCAAACCAATGAATTCAAAAAAAATCCACCATTCGGAAAGCTGTTGTTGCAAAGGGAAATCAAAGGCTACTCCCTTGCAAATAACACAAAAAAGGTATCCCTAAAAAGACACGTCCGTTCGAATCTGTTGATCTGCACTGGAGTAGTTAAATTTTCAGACGGGCAAGGGGTGGTTTTGAAGGGGAATCCAAAGAACAAAGCCGGTCAGGAGAAATCAAAACCAGCTCATGGTGTGGGGAACACTTTGGAAAAGGGTGCTTCACCACAAAGAAGAAAGCAAAGCGTTCCCCATGTCCAATCAAAGAATCTGACAGGTCCCTTGAGACGAATGGTCTTCCACTTCGGGTTCGGTTTTGGTTCCAAGCTAGGGAAAATCAATGTTCAGTTGAGCCAAAGGCAAACCTCCTTGAAACCTCCGGAACCCTTCGGAACCCTCCCCGGTTGCCTGTTTGGGCTGTAAGCAGTTGGGAAAAAAGCCACTGACCGCAAGATTTCTCCCAAGAAGATAGTTGGATTCCACTGGTTTCGATTGGTTTTATGCCCCAGTTGCCAGGTAAGCCCATCTGTTCTTCCAGCTTAGGTCACCCATGACACTGACCGCAAAAAAGTTGCCGATAGATGTCCCTGGTTTAGATGGGTTTTACAACAGGAGGGCCCCTCGTAAAGGTGGGTTTTTTGACACAGGGATTTAGTAGTTTTTTTGCGTATGTTCCTTTGCACTTTTCAACAACAACAACAACAACAACAACAACAACAACAACAACAACAACAACAACAACAACAACAACAACAACAACAACAACAACAACAACAACAACAACAACAACAACAACAACAACAACAACAACAACAACAACAACAACAACAACAACAACAACAACAACAACAACAACAACAACAACAACAACAACAACAACAACAACAACAACAACACAACAACAACAACAACAACAACAACAACAACAACAACAACAACAACAACAACAACAACAACAACAACAACAACAACAACAACAACAACAACAACAACACATCTCGAAGAAAACCAATTTCCACAAACCATTTGCCAGGGCAATCCGCTTTTTTTTAACAGGTGCAGTACGAGGGCATGGACGTGGGTTACTCGCTGGGCCACCGCTTCATGACCATCCCCTCTTCTGAGTACTGGCCCGGCGCGCCCGCGGTCTTCCAGGTCGGAGAGCTTTGTCCGTGGTTTTTTTGGTTGCGCCTGCGTCGTCTGCTTGGTGTGGGAGTACTTTGTTGTCGTTTGTTTTCTAGTTGTTCTTTGTTTGTTGTGCTTCTCGCTTTGTGTGTTTGATGTGTTTAGGTGTGCTCCCAGTCTTCGCTTTTGTTGCTGGCTGCATGAGGGGGGTACGAATCCTTCCTAGGTTTAAGCATCACTTATCTGAAATATTCCCCCTGAGTGGGTGCTAGCACCACCTAGGGGGGTTTGACAAAAATAGGGCTCTTTTTGCTATCCCCTTTAAAAGGCCATGTGTTTGACATGTTAAGAGGCTCAAAGGTTGCGTGTCACATGAGTTTTCTCTAGGGGGGGGGGAGTTTGGGGTGGTGGGTCTTACTTGTTTATCTTTCCTACAGGAAGCCGCACAGGGATGGCTACCTTCTATTAGTCCAGACCTGCACCGTAGCCTTCAAATCACCATTTGGGAGCATATTTTCCAAGGATGTCACTTACCCTGACCCAAACCACGAATCGCCAACCCAGCTATGCTGACTGGAAGGTCTGTGGAACCTTCTTCTTGGTGGTCTTTTCCATGGAGATCTTGGTGCGCCTGTTGTTCCTCAGGCGAGTCGGTCGGTTTTTGGGAACAAAAAGTGAAGCATCTTTTGCAGAGGGGTCAACAGCAACCGAGTTTTGGGTGGACAGGTTTTGAGACAAGCCAGTTGCTCAGTGGCGCCCACCCGTAAAATATGTTCTGCCGCGTTTGGGACGGCCCCTAAAAGGGGGAAACGGGGGGGGGAATCGGATAGGTTGCACATTTCTGAGGGTCCACTTCTGGCATCACAGAAAGCGTCTTAGTCCGCACCGAGTCAAAGATCGGGATTGTTTTTACATGAAGTTCGGTTCAAGTATACTGTAGTCTATGGTCTATTTGGGAGGATCATGGAGAGACGAGCGCTAATTTTCAACCAAACACACCAGGGGACTACTTTGACTGGCTCACATGTTGTTTCCTGATGTCTAGTTTGCGAGCTATTCTTAGGATAACCTCGCTCTTGCTTTCCAAAAAACAACCCAAACTCTGGGAAAAAGCCAACGATGCTCTTCCTAGAACTTTGGTAGTTTGTGCGAATCTTCCTCAAACAATGAGGTGTGGAGAAGTCTGAGTGCCCTTGCCAGCTGAATATATGCGGACCATGATGTGAGTCCCGCAAAACGATGTTCGATTCCAAGAGGGTGCACTGCAGTCCACTACCATAGCACCTGTGGGTACCTGAAAGATGACTTTCCTTGGGTTTTCGGGACCGGCTGTCAAGTGCCATGGCAACATGGGATCGTGCGATTTATCCGAAGGCATATTGTGTCGTCCGATTCATCTTGGGCCAAGGGGTGTTGGTTTCGGTCTTGCCAACACTCAAGGGAAGCAGGCGCCGCTTCAATTAGATTTTCTCCGGTTCTGTTCTCCCGCCAACGGAAATTCAACACACCGTTTTCGAGATGCCACAAGCCTAGGTGACCAAAACTGCCATGATCTGCAGGTCGAGTTTTTCTTAGTGGAGGCCTTGGCTTTCGGCATGCTTCGCATGCGCGGGACTCTCGCGTAAACTGCCCAGGGCGGCCTTCTGCAAGACCTGCTACAACATCGTGGACTTCCTGGCGTGTCTCGGCGTGCAAAGCGTGACTAGGTCCCCCGGCAATTGGTGCCCTTCTGAACCGATTCTTTTTTGGTTGGGAGGGTTCCACTAAAATAGACTACCGAAAAAAGGGTACCCTTATTCTAACCTCTCTACTGGAGGGCCTAGGAATCAAAAATGTGCCCAGAAAGCCATCTGGTGCTTTGGTTTCGACGCAGAGAGAGAGGGGGGTCAACCCCCCAAAGTAGGGAGATGTTCAACTTGTCTTCTGAATCCGTTTTGTTTTTTTGGAGGGGGGGGGTGAGGCCCACTGCCCCAGGTGCCTATCCCCGGAGGGAACTGGAACCCTGTGGTAGTTGAGGTCGTTGTTGGTCCCTGAATCTATTCCGGAGAGAGTCCAATATGCCAGTAATGGATGATTGGAGGATGGATTGTCCCTGGTGGATTGTCTTATGGAGAATCCTGTAAGCGGCCTGCAATGGCTCTTTTGTCCTCACGCTCGGATGGTCGTGATTATGCAAAAAGGGGCCTTGAGCCAAATGTTGCGGGAGATCAATGGTCTGAAAAACAGAGCACAAAACAGACACAAATTTCTTTTGATCTCCAGCACAAAATATGAAATACTATTGGCTTCATGGCCTTTGTCATGGCCTTTGACCGTAGCCTTAATGTGTGCCGTAGCCATGTGATTAAAAGTGCCGGATTCATCCTTTTTCTGCTGGATGAAATGTCTTGGCCTTCGAAATGGGAAACACTATGTACGCTTCTTTTTGGATACCCAATTGTATCAAAGGGTGATGTACAACGCTATGTACACGCGGAACAATTGTGAAACTATTGATCACTCACTCATGGTATAGTCTTGTAGACGAGGAGGATCAATCGTCTGGATTGCTCGTGGTGCTGAACGTATCTTCATGGTCAGTCGGATCGACGATACCATCGGCGGCTGCTGTCGGATTGACTGCCATGGTCTCCACAATCATTCCAGGTCGAACTGCTATAGTCCTTCCACTGCGTCTGATATCCCCACTGCTTGTTGTAGTCCTTGTACTCCTGCGTGGTCCAGGATGATTGTCTCTTCTTGACGTACTCCTGGTATCTCTCAGAGCTGCGTTTACTGGTTGCAGATTTGCTGCGGATGTAAACCATGAGAGGACTGTGGGAGTCGGAGTCCTGCGAGCCGGTCATGAACATTTCGTTGTTCACGTGCTTGTAGCGCTCTGCGGATGAGACCTGGTAATCGAAAATGGCCTTGTCTGGATGGTTCCGCATGAATTCCAGTTGTTCATCATCCATACTGTTCATCTCGATCTTCCGGAAGTCCTGCTGGATGTTCGTTTTGCCCCATCCAAATACGATAGTCATCATCACATCTGGGAATGTTCGATCAAAACCTGATCCGCATTTCATGTACAGGTGATGACGGACAATGGATTTCAGGGTGCACGAAGTCTCCACTGTATACTCCATTCTGTCCACGAGTGGCAAAGTCTTCGTCGCATTCCACAGTCTCTGATATGCTCTCATGAGGATGTTCACGAGACTGTTGGTTGGATTGTAGACATGCTGGAGTTTGCTGTAGGTGTTCGCCGACTTGTTGGCGTCTCCGATGATCGCATCGCATCGGTACAAGGTCACGAGCGGCATGATTTCATTCTGAAGATCTTCCTTTGCTGCTCCATGGCTAAGTGAAGGATGGATGTGGAAGACTCCAATGGTTGCGAATGGTAGATCTGCCCTCGTTATGTGGCGGTCGTCATACTCGTAGTATGACTTGTCGGATGATTTCGGGATCATGCCACGAAACTCATCACTCTGCTCGATGTGGAGAACGACGATCTCCTTGTCTCGGCCATGTCCTTGGACAATGGTGCGTGCTGGCAATCTCGATCCAATGTACTTCTTGGATTCGGTAAACATGGATGTTCCTGTGGTTGCCAAGCAATCCGAGGTCGGAATTTCGTATTCGGGATCAGTGCCATCTCCTTTGGTTCCGAAGAAACATCTGAACATTCCGAATGTGGTTCCCCAATTCTAGCTCCTGGTGGAAATGTGTCTTGCCAGAAGTTAGAGGGTCCGCCGCGGACAAAGCAGGCGATCGGTCTGGATGACCATTGCTTGATCACAATGCCCTTGTAACCGTATCGGATGAACGTCTTGATGAGCTCCCTGGATTTCTCATCATTCGGACTGAAGAATGCGTCTGCCTCATTCAGGCATAGGATGTGTGCACTGTTCTGCATCATCATCTTGACGATCGGTCGATCCTTCATCGGCATGTTGTACACCTCCCTGTTGTCCAACTTTGGATTCCTTGTGAGGTTTCCATGGTTCAGGATAAGGATGTTGATCGCTATGGATGAGGTGAACTCATGCATGTTGAGATAGTCCACGGAAGGACGGTCAGTCGGCTGCATCAGCGATCCCAGGATATCGGCATAGGCTCGGATGATTTTTGGGTCATCTTGTGACCTGAGCTTCTTCAGTCCAAGCGGCAGCTTGATCGGATATCCGGATCCTGGTTGAGCTTGCTTGTACTCGTCAATGGTGGGACATTCTCCTTGATGAGAGAAGTAGAATTCTTCTTCACCGAGATTGACATCAGGATCGACATGTGCCAATGAGGCTCTCTCGCACTCTGTCAACTTGGGATGAGCTCCTTTCGGATCTTTGTTGAACTGGTTCATGAAGCGTTTGAGTTCTTCTTTGATCCCCGCGAGCTCTTCCTCTGCGTCCTTTTTGTTCATATCTATTTCGAGATAGATTCCCTTGAGTTCTTGGATGAACTCTTCTAGGTTCTCTGAATTGTGATATTCCACGATGACCTTGGGCTTGACGGATCTTTCCCCGGAGGGTCCCGGAGGGTTCCATCATTTCTCCTTCGGTGGAGTCCTGATCGGTGGAATGCCGTCTCTTCTTGGTCTCTGAGGAGGTATCCTTTTCCTTGTTGTGTTCCATGCAACCTATGGAAGTCAGCTCTACAGCATCATGGAGCACGGGCTCAAATCTGGGAAGTCCCAGTCAAACCCGTCGGGGAGAATGCACGTTCACATGGCATGCATCGATGACGTCATCCTCGAAGACGATGAGTCAGAAACCGCATTGACCCATGTGCCAGCAGGAAGAGATGCATTGCTGATCCTTGCATTTCTCAAGGACCAAGACTATGGCATCCGCCTTTCCGAAGAGAGAACAGCGTTGACAGACAAAACCATCGAGGCAAGAAACATTGTTGCAGCATTTGAACCTGATGGCAGCCTCATGGCGAGCAACAAGTGGATCATGAAGAAGTATCTCGATCATGAAGATTACGAGATGTACGACACCAAGATCCGCGAATTCGCCGATGCCTTCTTCATGTATGTGAATTCCACCAAGCAATAAATGTGATGGGCTTCTTCGAGAACGGCTTGATCTTTCTCTCTTCTTCAACGGATGGTGGTGCCGGCCTTCGCATTCTGTACTTGGGCTGAGATGTGCTTTCATCTCCATGAGGCGCCTCGGATCTTGACGGATGCGGACTTGGCGGAATGGATTCCGTTGGCAAATCATAGTCCGGTTCGTCGTAATGAGGCTCCTTCTGCTCAGAGAACAGGGGTTGTCCAAAGGATTGGATATCGACTTGTCGTGTGTGTCCGCTGTTGCATCTCACATAGAACTCCATCTCTGGATCAACATAGAAGTCCTTGCCATCGGGCCTGAGTGCACTTTGTGCGGATCTGGTGTTGAGCTTGTCGATCCATCGATTCCTTGGAACAATTTCTCCCCGTGCATTGCGCTCATTATATGTCCCGTCCACGGATGGAAATACGAATGCAATTTCGAAACGTGATTTTCCATAGCTCGGGAACATAGCCATCAAGAGAAGTCCTGGCTTGTTTCCAATGAAGTTCCTGGCATGTGTGACGCAGGTCAATGCGTCATAGAGCTCGACGGATCCATCAGGACCCATTTCCACCTGCCGTTTGCATTCCTTATGGATTCCATGCCTTGGATCATGTCGAAGACATCCGGAAAACGATCTGCTCATTCTCTCAATTCGCCAGAGGATGAGATCTGTGATCTGTTTCGCCTTGGATGTTTCCATGCGGAAGTATTTGCAAACCTGTTCGACATTCTGGACGGTCTTATCGAGATCAATGTTGCCATTGTGGCATACCATCGGGATGATGTCGGTGCCGTTAACTTCGGATTGAGCATTGCTGTAGCAGCAGATGCTGTAGACCTTCTTGATGAAGTCCATGTATTGCTTCTCTGCATGAGGTCCTTCACCTTGGAGTGTCGGATGCCAGTAATTGTTGAATCTTGCCTTCAACCAGAAAACCTTGACTCCATGCGGTCTCTCGTGCTCAGGAACGAAGTGGAAGTCCGGATTGACATCGAGGATGGTTGAGCATTCCTTGTAGTACTCGTGCACAAAAGTCAGGAATTTTGAGTTTCCGAATGGTCCTGGGTCCACGGATTCCTTCTGGAGGCTGATGTTCGTATCCGATCCATAGGTTACAAACCACCGATCGTTGGATGTGAGAACAGGCCGCATCACTGGTCGCCTTGGAAGTGCAGGTCGATCACCAGGGTGATTGTCGGATTCCGTCTCGTCATCCAGAGTGTTCTTGGGTGCTGGCTTGACCTTGGAGACAAGCCTCAATGTCGGTGGCGGTGACTTTGGAACAAGTTTCGGATGTGGCATCGCCTTTGACAGAGGCCTTCCTTCGAGAGGATGCCCTTCTTCATCTGAATCATCGTCGTCGGAATCTGGATCATAATCAACCTGCTCCATGTTGACATTCTCGGGTTGTTGAGAGGCGGATGGATTCTCATCAGCGACTTGCTCCATGGGGCAATCGGATGTCTCATCTTCCTCATCACGAGCAGGGGATTCCTTCAATGGTGACGCCCGTCTCTTGATCATCGGCTTTGGCACAGGTGCCGCATCGCCGGATCGTCCAAACATCAGGTTGAGAATGGGCATGTCAACGAGATGATCGAGCATACAAGATTGCAAAGGTCGGATTGGTTGT